GGTTTATATTAACACAGCATCATCAGCAAAGAAGCAACTGGTCCTGAACCAGTCTCAGGAGGGCTGTGAGTCCATTTCTACGCTACAGGTTTAGAAATCTAAACAGTCGGAAAGATTATTCACCAGTGGAAAATATCTGAGACACTTGTTATCGTTCCCAGGAGGGAACGGTGGGACTCAAATATAACCAGGTCAGAGCATGACTCAGCAGAAAGGGCGTGGCCAAAGTTTGGCCTCTTTGGATGGAAATCAAACATTTATTATTTACCATTTATCAAGATAAATGTCTTATGATAAGATTTAGATGTATTGTTGTCACAATCAAATCCAGTTAATGATGTTTAATAAACACCTAAAGCTGCCTGTATTGTTTAGTTTTACTGTTTACTCCACCGTCTGTTCACTGAGATTATCAATAAATATCAATAAACTTTCAAATATGATTAAATAAAGTCGCTGTGTGCGTGTTAGTGATACAAATCACACCTCTTTATGTGACTGGAGTCCTAAAGAAGCATATTACAAGAGCATTATTTATGTTTGTATTGTGCAAGCAAAGCCTTAATAAGTTTTAAAAAAAATTATGTGCTAACACTTTAAATTTCATAACAGCAAACATCTCAAATTGTGAAGCACGGTGGTGGAGGGTTAATGACTGGGGCTGCTTTTGAACACAATTGGATGGAAACAACTAAAAATTTGGTCTGCTTTCCACATTTAGCTGACTTTCTCAGAAAGATTTCAGAGCAAAATTCTGTCAAAATAGTTCTGTGGCAGAAAAACACAAAAAATAAATAAAATGCCGTCTTACTGCACTTCTCTTATTAATTTATTTTGATTAGTCATTGGTTAATTAACTGTCACTATAAATCAGAAATCCCAGGACAACGTTCTGATTTAATAGGACATATTGCCACAAAAAGCTCAAGTCTAATCAAGTCCTCTGCTTTCCTAATGGGATCCAGTTCAGGCCAAAATATCTTTGGCCCACCGTAGCTTTTTATGTTGGCCTCCAAATTACATCAAAAAGTCCCTCCAGTTCTTCACAAACCAACAAATCCCCACTTTTTTCTGATTTTACAGTACATTTTTCTCAAATTGGTCATAAACACTGGGTTAGATACAGTGAGTAATACAAAGTCACATTTAACATCACACATTAGCACACATATAAAAATTTCTTACAGGTATTACTAAATTAGCACCACAAAATCTGATTTTGCTTGCAAGAAAAACACAAAAACAATCAATACATCCTGGAAGAAGCGACGAGTGCAAAAAGATAAAGCCGACCCAGAGAGAGGAAAAGCAGAATATAAGTGGTTTAAAGTTATTTTACATCTGTTGATCAGTTTATTTCCCCTTTGCTATGGCACACTGCAGCCACTGTAATTTTTAAACCTTCAATAAATGACAAAAACTGAATTAACTGTCTCGTTTGTTTGTAGGATGTGGCGATAATCATAACAATCAACAAATACGATGAAGTATGAGCAAAACGAAAAACTTGTTTAGTCCTTTGTTGCATCTGGACAGAATCTGTGAATAAGGAAGTTGTGTTCGGTGTCTTCTTCAGAGGTTTTGTGCCGATTCCTTTAGTAATTCTTGGTGCAGCGCCACCACAGGCGAGGAGGGGAACAGGCTTTACAATTACTTTGGATCATTTGATAGTGCAGTGTGGAAGCAAACCACATGAGCTGAGAATGTGACAAATGTAGCAATTTTGGTCCCCAATCAAACCAAGTCTACCGGACTATCAGGTGTGAAAGCAGCCTGAAGCATGGTAGTGGAGAGGTGATGATCTGGGCTTGTCTAGTGGTGACAGAATCTGGGTTGATGACCCAGATCTACAGCAGACATACAGTCATAAATTCAAAGCTCAGCTTCAAAGGTTGTGGTGGGATGTTAGAGCTTTGCATAAAAAACCAAGCAGCGGTCTTCCCAGCGTTGCACAAGACTGATGAAGTGGAACAGAAAGCAAAAACCGAGAGTTATAGGCATATTACTATAATTTACATACAGGAAATTTTGCAGATAGACGATTCTTTTACATGCCATCCAAAACCATCAAAGGTATCTAAAACCCGTCCTGGAGATCGACTTCCGTTCATCTCTGAATCAAATATCTGAAAGTCATTCAGCTCAGCAGAGGCTCAGTAACGAGTCACTGATCTGATTCAGGTGTGTTGGACAAAGAACACATCTGAAAGTTTCAATATAGTAGATCTTGAAGTCTAGACTTTTGCATTCCTGACTTAACTAAAACTGAAAAACCCATTTATTTCAGGAACTTGATCACAGATTGAGACATTATGTAACATTATTTAGCCTAATTACACACAGATGGATGTTTGAACACCTTTACTTCTGTTAATTATGATGATTTTCCACTTACAGGTGATGAAAACGTGACATTTAAAATTAGAATATTACATCAGACCAATACAAAACTGTTTTTAAAAGTATGTTCAATACTTGTTATTTTCAAAAAGTTATTTCAATCTGACAAACGAGACTCGTTAGAGCAGATATTCTTATTTATCAATATGACTGTTAGCAGGGCTGGATAAAGAAGGATAAAGGCCCCCTGGGCTGGAACCATTTGGTGCCCTATCCAAAAAAACAAACAAATAAATAAAAAATAAGGATTTTACTCATGTAAATTACAGTACACATCAGCTCCAATTTGGTCCCATAAAGATGTACTATAACTTCTTCAAACATGAGGATTGTTTACATTGAATATTAAAACAACACATCATATGAGTTTTATGTAAGATTGTAAGAAATATGTAAATATTTTACATTTTGATTCAGGAATGCCTCTGTTTATCCATGAAGACTGGAAGGCTGCTTAGACTGGGGTGTCAAACTCAAGGCCCGCGGGCCAAATTCAGGCCGCCATAGCATTTTATAGGGACCTCTATACTCTAAAGAGACACATAAATAAAGCCTTCAAGAAAACAGTTGTGTTTGTAAATATTTTATCAATCAAATCAAAGCAGTTTCCATCTGTATTCTACCAAATTACATCAATGTGAACAAAAGTAAAATGTTAACTTTGCGAAGGACTTATCAAATAAATATATTTATTCATATGTTAACAGTTTAATGGGTAGTTTTATCAATACATTTTGAGCACATTAAGATTTAACTGATCTCAAAAGCTAAAGATCGTTTTGTTTTCATATCCTGACTTAAAACAGGTTTGGCATTTATTGTGATAATTTGACTTTGTAAGTATTTTTAATTTATTGTTGTGATAAATTTCAACTAATGATGTTTAAAACCCCACAAAACTGTCGTTGCTGTCAGGATCAATGACAGGATCAATAAATACCAATAAATGTAAAAATACAGTTAGAGACACAAACCAAGAAACACATTACAAAGGGGAACGTTTTCAAGAGTAGCATTTGTGTTTGTGGGACTATAATTGCTGTGACACACAGACATAACTTTTATCACAATAATACTGCAAAATATCACAATAAAACATTAAGTGTTTTAAATAGGGTGCTGTTTTTAGTTGAGGGTCTAAACACACAAAACAAATCACAAGCCAACTTTTCCAAAATGATTTTTATTGGGAGAACTACAAAAAACAAACAAAAAAACAAACAAATGTACAGTACAAAGTTAACAGTCTCACACTCAATTTGTAGTGAACTGACTCCCCAAAAAGAAACATCACAACTCTCGTTGTCTTTTTGTCCGTTTTTGTTACATTCAAAAAGCTTTACTTCTAATAAAGTAGTCAAAAGTACATAGTGCGCATCCCCCTGTACCTACTATGTACAAACCAAAATGTGTTCGTCCACTTCCCTCTGCAGCAAAACTCTCAAGACTAGATTTTCAATATATATTTTCATAAAAAGAAAGAGGAATCGGGACTCGGAGAAAAGTTACGGTTGCTTCTGTCAGAGAGGCTGAGTGGTGACAACCTGAAAAGTTGCAGAATCCAACACTACATTCAGCTCAACGTGTATATAAAAAAATATGCCATGTAGGAAAAATACTTTATTTGGTTATTTTTAAGGCATGTAGAAAGATGGTGAACCCCATAGGCACTACACAATAATAATACTGGGGCAAAAAGGGATTGCTACATTCTTTAGCACGCGGCTGGAATCACAGTGTGACCTCGTGCAAAAACAGGAGAGAAAAATAAAAAAACAAATACTTTTTGGTTAATTTATTGACTTGGGTGCTTTGTCACTGACGTCTAAACTAGATCAACAAAAAGAAGAAGAAGAAAAAATGTTTGGACGGTCTGTACAACCTCTGTTTATACATTCTACAGAACATCTAAAGTATGGGGGAGAAAAATAAAAGACCTTCGACAGCACTGACAGCCTCAGGAGCAAAAACAGCAATCACACAAACTTTGTTTTAATAAACGTAAACAAGGAAACAAAATTAATGAAATAAATATCACATACGTTCTCTTAAGTTAAGATTTTTTTTACTCAATAAAAATAACCAAGTGAAGTTACAAAACGAAAAAAAAGGAGAAAAACAATATATATATTACTGTGAAAAGAACATACACTCCACTTTATGCAGATTAATAATGGCGATCATAATTTAAACATAAAAGAATATAGATCTATTGCTTCATCATACTTGATAAATACGGTATGGACACAAATTACCAATGTAGCCTATACTTTTTTTCACAAGATAATAAATAAGTTAAATAGTCCATAGCAAGTTATGCACCGCTATGCAAATCACTCCAAAAAAAAAATAGCTAAAAAAATATAGATATATATTCAACCATCAGCAGTGATTTCCCCAAACAAGCCCAACTCAAGAGTGCTTTTTAACCAAGCAACAAATTACTGCTGACTAACCAAACCAACCACTGGGTGGCGCTAGAAGAAGGCAGATCTGGAATGGAAGTTGAAGCAAAAACAAAAGAAAGAGAAGAAAAGTGTTACTTTAAGTTAAGGCATATTCTTGGCAGGATGGGAGGAAATCTGAAACCGCTTAAAGTCTTTTTTTTTTCTTGTCAAGTCATGTTACACTCATCTAATCCCAGGAAAAGTGTGGCTTGCCTGATAGAGCGATAAGAGAGAGAGGAGAGAGGGAGGGCTGCCAGGAGCCCCATGGGCAAGGCACTGATGGAATGCCTTCTGTTTGCTATCTAAGTTTTAATACAGCTATAATACAAACAAGAACAAAACACTATTACACTAATGCCTGGTCAAGGATACTTGAAACTGAAGCTTAACTGATCCTCGTGGGACTAGAGATGCACCGATCAGACACCATGCAGATCGGAACCAGACGATTTTTCCTTGTGATCAGAAAGGCGAAATACTGGGGGGGAAAAAAAAAAATCTATTTTTTAATTATTTTTTTTTACCCCCTAATAACACCCAACGCTTTCATTCCATACAGGAAATGCATCAACAAGCATGTCATTAGAAAGGTTTGGGATACATCCTTTGAAAACTTCTATCAGCAAGGAACCCGCAGAAAGTTTTTACTTCTCAGTAGGGAGAAAAACAAAAACAGTATCGGTAGATCAGACCACAAGGAAAAACAAAACAAAATTAAAAATCGGTATCTGTATTGGCCTAATCGGTGCATTTCTAGTGGAAACTGGTCTCTTGTCCCCCCTCCAGGGAGGTTTGGGCAGGGTTTGCACCCTGCAGCTGGTGGGAAGAAAAATAAATCAGAAAAAGTCTTGCTTAAAGACACGTCAAAGGAGGTGACGAGGAGCCAAACTTTTGATATCCTCTGCTTAAAGGAAAGTCTCAGTCTCCAGCACCTCCCGACTCCTCAAACCAACCATAATCCAAAAAAATAAAAAAAAATTTACTTAGTCATCTGAAATCGACAGCCTGCTGAAGATTGGCAAACGCCTTCCAGCGTCAAGGATCGGGGACTCGGAGCCGCTGAGGCTCCCGGAAGAGCTGAGGGACCCGCTCGCATAGCTCTCCCGGTCTGAGAGGGAGTCCGGCGGGCTGGGCGGGGGCTCGAACACCGGCGACTCGCTGAGGCGGCGCAGCGCCTGGAGGCTCACGCTGCTCGGCGCGTTCCCGTAGAAGCTGCCGCCAACGCCGCCGGAGTGGTTGTTGGCGTAGCCGGCCGGGGAGTGCACGGCCAGCGGGGCCAGCAAGGCTTTCAGGTCCTGCCCGGGGAAGGAGAAGGCGCTGTTGATGCACGGCATGGAGCTGGGCGACAGCACGTCGTCGTAGAAGCTGGAGGCGGAGGTGCAAGACGACGCGGAGGTCGGGGGCGGCGGGGTCCGGGATGTGGGGCTGTCGAGCAGCGGCGATTCGAGTCCGTGGTGGGTGGAGAAGCCGGAGAAGCTGAGGCTGTGGTGGAGCTTTGGTCGGAGCTGCTGCTGCGGGCTGTAGCCGCGGGGCTCCGCCGCCTGCACGTTGGCGTTGGCCGGCGGGGCGGGCCGCCGCTCGTCCGCGTTGTGGATGAAGTGACACCGGGGACCGTAGGGGCAGAAGCCGATGGTGTGGAAAGTGCGACACGGCTCCGTTTTGTACTTCGGGTGGCGCGTCAGGCTCCGCAGCTCGTGGTAGCCGTGGGCGAACTGACACTTCTCCCCGTATTTGCACGACCCGTTCTCCTCGAAGGGCCGGCACAGCTCGGTTTTGTATCGGGTGGAGTTGATCTGCGAGGCGGGCTTCTGCTGCAGCACGCCCCGGTCTCCGGTCTCGCTGTAGGCGCGGTCGCGGAACTTGTTCTCCTTGTTCATGAGGGCCGTGGCGCCGCCGCCAACCGGGGAGTTCTCCTTCATGCAGCTGCTGTACGAGCCCAGAGAGTACTTGTTGCCGTTGCTCATTGCCTCCAAGTTGCTGGTGGAGTTTCTCCGGAAAAATCCCGGCGTGAAGGAGCCGGCGACCGGAGCGCCCACCGCCTTCTTATCCAGCATGCTGTTGATGTGGAGGGCGTTCATGTTCATGCTTTTCTCCTGCTGGGGACAAGAAATTATAAGTATTTCTGCGCAACCGGCGCAAGAAGTTGCATAAAAACGCTTTTAAAGTTGTTTTTACCTTGTAAAGCATGTCCATGTCGTAGAAAGTGGACAGGACCGTCGCTGACATGTCTCTTCCCCAAATCTGCTGCCGCACTCCGTCTTTCATGGAGGACCGAGCGGGATCCTTCACTGCGACGAGGTGGTGTTGTTTGTGCCACGACTGGAGCTTAGTTGGAAAGTTTTGGTTGTGGAAAAGTTTTTAAAAGTTGCCCAAAACGCTTTATTTTATTATTATTGTTATAATTTAATTTGAAGTCCGGAGGAAATAATAAAAAATAGAAGAGGTTAGTATTGTGGAGCTGTGAAGTTGTGGCTGTTGTCTCCTCCTCTCTAGAACCAGAGTGCTTCGCTGTGGAGCAAACGGCGTATAAATGCAACGCTGTGGCCGGGGAGGGGCGGGCCGAGTTCGGGCAAACTTCTTCCCCTCTCCGGTTGGCTGGCTGCTCGGTCACCGCCTTGAAATCCAACCCTGGCCCACACTCCCTCCTTCCACTCCACACACCCCTGAAAACCTCTGGAAGTGGGTTAAAAACTCTTGCTGATACAGAATTTGGTTAATCAAAGGCGACACCAAGGGGGGCTCAAAGGGGGCTGGGGCTCCGACTTTTAATTTGTGATTTAATCAGAGTTGGGTATATTTACTACTCAATTACATTTACTTGAGTAACACTTTTTTAGTGTGCTTTTATGAGTATTTTTA